ATGATTACTAACATTTAAATATTCATCAAGTGCTTACTCTATGGCAGGCACTGCTCTAAGCACTCTAGTTATTTATTTATTTATTTATTTATTTATTTATTATTTTCTAATCGCATTTACTCTTCACAACAATCCTCTGAGACAGGTACAATTATACCCCCATATTAGAGATGGGGAAACCAAGGCACAGAGAAACCCTGTACTTTCTCAAGGTCACAACGCTGGTTGGGGCAGAGCTGGTCCCAACCCGCCCGAGGTGATCGGAAACAATGCTGTTTCCTCCCAGAGCCTCCGTTTCCTCCTGTGCTGAGGGACTCCGAGGCCCCTTTGAGCCCTCACACCTTATGAGTCCATGTCGCCCCCTCAGGTCCCTCAGGAAGTCTCTCACCTGCATCAAAGAGAGCCTGCGCATCTTCATCGACCTGGGGGAGAGAGACAAGGCCACCGAGGCCTGGCTCCGGGCTGGGCGACTGCACTACCTCATGCAGGAAGACGAACTGGTGGAACTGTACTTGCAGGTAGGCCTCCCGCAGAGCTCACCTGCTGACTCCGGCCATTTGTGGGAGGCAGCTGTATTCGCCCAAGTGACCATCTGTAACTAGAGAGAGGGGGTGTCCTTGGAGGGCAGGTCAACACAGGGCTGCTCCCTGTACACAGATGGAGCCCAGGACAGCCTGGCAGGCTGAATACAGGTGGAAAAGGGCCAGTCCCTGAGCCCATGTACACGTGTAAGCTCCCAAAGAACAGGGTGGGAGACTCTCTCACCTGTCACGTCAAGTATATCCATTTTTCCAAAGCTGGACGTGTAATTCGACTTCATGTAATTCGACTTCAGGGTTTTGCTGCAATTTGAGGTGGATGTGTGTGGGGTGTTAACATTATTGTTCTCTTATGTTTTTTTGTTTGCGTATCTTTAATATCTGAAGTAAGGCATAGGTTAGTGATTTAAGGCCTGAGCTTAGAGAGAGACAGTCCTGGAATCAAATTACAGGGCATTATGAACTGTGTGACCTTGGGCGTGCCACCTGAGCTCTCTGGGCCTCAGTTTCTTCATGGGCGAACCCTGTCTTAGTAAGGATTGGGTATATCACGGACATAGTAAACACATATGCATAGTAAGCATTTACCAAGTGCTTGAGACTTAGTAAATGCTTAAGAAATGGTATTTCATCATCATCACCATTATTATTATTATTATTATAATTATTATTATTACTACTATTATTTGCACAATGCTGATATTATAATGGTATATAAAAGGATTTGTTCCATAAAAAATATGCACGTTATCTTTTCTTCCTTTCCATTTCTTATTTTCTCCCTTTTTGCTCCCCTACTCCATTATTTACGCTTGCACAAACTCTCTTCCACTGAGACTCAATAATGGCTGTGTAACATTGGTCAAATGTTTACGATGCCCAGGAAACTTTGGGAAACACATCACACACGGTGTAGTTTAACCCTCATTACCAATGCAGCAGGGGTTTCTATTGAAATTCCCATATTACAGGTGAGGTTCAATGAGGACAAGTAAGTTGCCCAAGATGATCTAGCTAGTTAAGTGGTGAAAACTGCCCACTGGCAGTGAGACGTAAAACTTTCACTCCCAGACTCTATTCCGCCTTGAGATTTCAGAGCTGGAAGGACTTTCAGGGAGCAGACAATTCAGTCTTGCTTTCCACTCTCCATGAGTTGGAGGCCCAGAGGGAGCTGTTTTGTGTTCAGGGTTGGTGGCAAGAGGCTGCCGTCTCCAGGATTCCATCCCACCGCCTGTCCCTCCATGTAGCTGCATATGTAATAACAATGCTGGGGGGTCTTGCACTGGCCAGAACTGGTCCCAGGCCCACCCAACCCCAGAGTGCATCCTAACTCAAAGTTCTGCCAGTCATTCCCACTGACGTGAATCATTCTGTACTTGAGGCCGTTTGAGGTTCTGCAGCTGTGCAGCCGATGCTGGGGTGCGTTCTTCACTCTTCAAATTCCTCACCACATTTCGTTTTGCAATATGAAATAGCTTGCTAGAGAGAATGAGGTCGTGGTGGCTAGGAGGAGGAAGACGATTAGGCTGGAAGACACTTGCATTTGTTTGCCATTAGCTACTGATGTGAACGTGGAGAGGTGTCTTAATCTTTCTGAGCCTCAGTTGCTCCATCTGGGAAGTACAGGTATTGGACTAGATCACTTTCCAAACTTCAGTTATTTATACATCAAGTTCACGGGTTTGCCATATCTGTATACCGTCTGTACCACTATTATTTATTTTTGACCTAACTTCAAATCAGCTTAGCTTTTTACACTAAACTAATGCTATCTGAAATCACAGGTTTTGATGTTAATCTTTTTTTTTTCTTAAAACACATTAAAATAAATACTTAGCTATGGAAACATAAAATGTTTGTGTACTGCTAAGCATCATTCTAGGACCATACAGTGTAATCTCTCATAACATGATGGGGAAATGCTGGACTAGAGAATCCCAAAGGCTTCTTACCAGCTCTATGAGTGTGGAGGACAATTCAGGATTCTGGGGACTTCAGCAGAGGGTTAAATTAGGTGGTCATGGCCTCACCCCTGCCAGCCTGTGAATCTTTCAAGTCCTTCTCTCCATCTTTGACAGCCATCTCTGTCTCATCCAGGCAGCTATCCAGAAAGCCCTGAAGTCAGAGGAGCCCTCCCTGGCTCTCAAGCTCTACGAAGAAGCAGGTGATGTGTTCTTCAATGGAACCCGCCACAGGCATCGTGCAGTGGAGTATTACCGAGTAAGCCTGAGCTCCGCAGTGCGCCCAGCCAGGACCACACCCCTGCCCCGCACCCCTGCACAAATGTGGGCAACAAATGTGGGCAGGACCACAGAAACTTCAGCCTGGATGCCCGTCCCCCTCTCTTACTGGTATTTTTAGTTTTTCCTCATCCAGTACCCACATGCTCTCCATTTCTTCAATTTAGCAGGCTCTCTGTCATTCTCAGGCTGATAAATTATTCTTCCTGGAAAAACGAACCGTAACTATTACATCTCTTGGGTGCATGGTGCTTTACAGTTTGTTGCACACTTTTTTTTTTTAAAGATTTAATTGGGGAATTTGGGGAAGGGGAACAGTGCTGGGGAATTGGGGACGGGGAACAGCCAAATTGTTGTCCTTCAGTCTTAGTTGTGGAGGGTGCAACTAGCTCAGCTCCAAGTCCAGTCGCCATCCGGCAGCCCATTGGCAGCTTGAGGCCGCTCAGCTCAAGGTGCTGTGTTCAATCTTAGTTGTGGGTAGGTGTAGCCCACCATCCCATGCAGGAGTCCAAACAGCAACCTTGTTGTTAGGAGCACGTGCTCTCACCAGCTGAGCCATCCTGCCACCTGTTGGCAGCTCAGTGACAGCTCAGCTCAGGCACAGCTCACTGGCCCATGTGGGAATCAAACTGGCGGCCCTGTTGCTCAGAGCTCGCACTCTTAAGCTAACTCTTAACCAACTGAGCCACTCGGCCGGCCCTGTTTTGCTATTTTTTAATAAGTATGCATTTCAAAATATTTTTAAAAATTAAAAAATGTGTAACACCACCTTTCAAACTCATGGTTTCACAGATATTATTGCAAAGAATGAGGCAAGATAATAAAAGAGTATTGATTTAAGAAATAATACTAATTAAGTAAGTGTCCAGATGATGTTAAGCAGATATGCCAAAAATCGTTTTTGTTATCATTGTTATTTTTGTTATCATTGACTGAAGTTTGGGTAACATCGTTATTTTATTTGATCCTAAAATTTTACTTAGTTAGGTACTCATTCATTTGCTTGTTCAGTTGTTTATTAGGTCATCAAACGTTTATCAAGCACCTAATATGTGCCAGGCACTGGGCTGGGGTGGGGAGAACAAGAAACATGTCCCTGGCTATGGGGGTGCTCATGTCATATGCATTTTATAAATGAGAAAGCTAAGGCTCAGCGAGATGAAGTGACCTGCCTAAAATTCTATCCTAATAAAAACAATAGAAATGGCCATTAACTGGACACTCAGACACTGTGTGCATACTCTGCATGTGCTTTATATATTACCACTGTAGGTGCTGAGGGAGCACATGTTTGGGAGGCAAATAACTTTCCTGCTCTCAGTTTCCCCAATCTTAGGAGGCCTGATGATCTCTAGCTCTTCCACCACTAAGATTTGGGCAGAGCAACCAAGAACAAGGACCAGGAAAACCAGCTGAATAAAACTAAGCATGGAAACATGACCAATCCCCTTGGTTTTCGTCACTACCACCTCCCAACCCGTCAGTAGAGTGTGAGCCTTGATGGTATATGTACCAGTGCTTCTTGGGAGACTAAGTTTCCTTGCGCCTCTCTTCACAGGCTGGGGCTGTTCCTTTAGCAAGAAGGATGAAGGCAGTGAGAACGGAGCTCCGGATTTTCAACAAGCTGACCGAGCTGCAGATCAGTCTGGAAGGCTACGACAAGGCTTTGGAGTTTGCCACCCTGGCGGCCAGACTCAGCACAGTCACAGGTAGGTAGGTAGTCCTATACTGAATGGGAGTAGTAGACAGTCCCCAAGGAGGCACAACAAGGCAGTCCCAGCACAGGCTCTGGGGTCAGACTGCATAGATTCAGTTCTGGGTCCGACTTCAGGGAGACCTTAATTAAGCAAGCAGCTTAAGTCTATAAGCCTCGAGTTTGTCTTCGGCAAATCGGGATTAAAAATAACAGTCATCTCAGGCAGTTGTTATGAAGACCGATGATTAGCCATGTAAAATCTGTAGTGCTTGGTACATAATAAGTCCTTGATAAGTGTTACCTATACCCACTAATTATTATATTACAGTTGGCATTCCTCCGAGTACAGGGCAAATAGTGTTTTCTCCTCTGCACTGGCAATGCTCCTTATAAAAAGACTGTGCCCTAAATTTTTAATGGGTTGGTTGTTAGTCAAATGCATATATTCCCCATGGAAGTGAAATGTAAATGAAGGTCAGATTCCCATTAAAATAACTCGCTGTGTATCTGAAATAATTTGCATTTACCACAAAAGCTAGCGGGGAGGGGGGGGGGGACGACAATACAAGTCATTAAAATGGAAAGAAGGCAGAATTAAAAAAGTTTTAAAAAATAACAAACTCACCTCGAATGTTGGTGCTTGAGGGAAAGCAGTGTTGATTAGAGGAGCCTTGATTAGATGCTGAGGCAAATGGAGTCTTCTGTAATGATATCATCTAGAAGGGCTTCTGGGCATTCTCAGTGATGTGAGATGTGGATGGTCCTGGACTTTATTGTGTCTAATTGCACTTCAGAGCTCTCTGCTCTTCCTACCTTTTTCTTTACTCCAAAACCCTTATCTCTGGGACTGTCTGGGTAATCTCAGGCAAGGCCTTGGGGGCCTCAGGCAGCTCCCTCTTGGGCAGCCTTCATCCTTTCCAGGACACAAGCTGCCAGGAGCCTATATTCACCCTTTCATGCACTTCCCCATGACTGGATTTTTCCATATGGGAGAATTTTCTCTCTTGTGGGTTTTCTCTTTTAATTTGGACTTTGGCCCTTTGGACCTTAAAAGTGATGTATTTAGATTGCATCAAACAGCCACCTTGCAAATAGCCCCCCAAAACTATTGGAAGCCTTGGTTCACTTTAAAAGGCCACTTTGTATCAAAGGAGTTAGTTATAAAAACAACAAACCCACCAAAAACCAAAAGAACAAGTCGTAGACGCATTAGAACGAGGGTACTACAGTGTGGACTAAAAGTAAACGGACTCTGTGGTTTATCTGAGGCTGCGAGCTGGTAAAGGAGCAGCGGCGACCCCTGCTGATGGCAGCCCCACAGCTCCCTGGAGACTTTATGTGGAGAAGACATTTGTTACACAGAGTCATTCATTGTGAAGAATTCTTAGCTACACCTTTAAGTTAGTCTTGTCACTGTGTCCCATCACACGGATTTGGGAATAATCATTTCCCAGTTACAGTGTCATCTGTAATGAGGAGGAAGTTGTTTTTCCAGAATCACCCCAGAAAAATCCTGACCAGCACGTGTACTCTAATTAGTCGCTCTCACTGAGCTCTGTGTCTTCTTTTGTAGCACTTGTCACAGGTGTAATTTTACCTTTGCTTGTGGGATCATTTAAGGAATGGCTGTGTCGTATGAGACAATAAGTCTCACGAGGGCAGGGACCCTCCGTGCTTTGTTCCCTATGTCCCAAGCACAATCCCTGATACCTAACAGACCTTCAAAAGATTGTCCAGAATGAGTGAGTGAATGATGTGAAGCGTTGGCTGCCCGATATCTCTCTCAGTCGTCCAATCCTAGGAGATCAGAGGCAGCAGCTGGTGGCCTTTCACCGTCTGGCTTCGGTGTACTATTCCCTGAACATGTATGAGATGGCTGAAGACTGTTACCTGAAGACGCTGTCCCTCTGTCCAGCCTGGCTGCAGAGCCCCAAGGAGGCCCTGTACTATGCGAAGGTTTATTATCGCCTGGGCCAACTCACCTTCCACCAGCTGAAGGTAAGAGCCATGCCTGCAGTGTCATGCGAGAGCTGCCCTCCAGCCATATTCTTCCCTGACCCTGAGCTCTCAGGATAGAGTTGAGATGGCCCAGATGGGGGTTCTTGTCTCACAGGGTGGGGAGTGGCCCCACTGAAGACACAGTGGCTCTTTCCACTCAGTCCCATTGGCGACCTCCAAGATGTTCCCAGCTCTGCTAGGAGACAGATCACAGCGCTTTTTTCTCCTTGCTCTGCTCTCATTTCTGTGACCACTTTATCTACCAGGCACTTTGGGCACATTGCCTGGTCCCTGCGAGCATCGGAAGGGCCTAGGAAAATACATGAGACCCAGAACAAAAGAACCATGAGCTCCAAAATGAAAACCAAAATTAATGCTTAACTGTGTGCGTGTCTACAAAATGTTATAGATTAACGAGCCAATTGAAACCCACTTATTATAAAGTTATACGCAACTGCGTTTTAGGAGAAATCTGGGTATATGTTCATGTGTTTGAGATAATGAGGTGTGGGGTCCTGGAATGTCAGCGTGCGTAGCTCCCGCGGCCTTGGCTTTGATCTTCCCGTTTGCTCTGGAGTTGAGTCCAGAATGTCTTCTTTTCCCAGCCTCTTCTAGAGCTGTGTTGGTGGTCTGAGCCCATTACAATTCTGGCCCTCCGGTCTTGTCCGCAGGCATTGTCTTCCTTTTACCAGAGGCCCCGGTCTGCTCCAGCACAAACCCTAATCTCTTAATCCAGGGGCTTCTGTGTGAGTCACGTCTGTGTTTGGCCCTCAGGGGATCCCCAGGGCAACTCTGCTGTCCTTTCTTATTTGCCAGAATTAATTATTGCTTCTGGCCTGAATTAATTATTGACTTATGAGGGTTAATGGGAACCAGACATTCCTTTTTGAGTCTCGCCCAAAGAAGCATCTGTTCCTCATTTCTGCCCCAGAGGGAGGGGCAATGGGCTAGTGAAGGACTCCACCGCCGTCTTCCCTCTGGAAGTGGTTCAGGGACAAAGTGTGTGCGATTGTATTTATCAACTGCAGGCTCTAGGGTTGCAAGGGGGAAGAACTCAACTCAAAGTAGCTTAAGCAAAAAAGGGTAATTTATTGGCTTAAATAACAGGGGAGCTCAGGTGTAAATTTAGTTTCAAGTAGTTCTGGATGCTGGGACGCAAATGCCGTCATGCATCTCCCCAGCTCTCTGTCTCTGTATCTCTTGGTTCTGTATGTTTCTCCTTCTCTCTGTTTCTTGGTCTCCTTCCCCTCCCACTATTGGCAGGCTCAAGCCTACCCCTAAAAGGGTAAGGGACCGTTTTCTCTGCTAGGTCACCCAGAAAGGCCCTTGGAAGGGACTGGGATAGGATAGGTCAGCTTGGGTCATTTCTGCACCCCTGAAGCGCTGTGCCCAGAGGGGTGCTGCTTCATGATTGGCTGAGCCTGGGTAAGAGGCCACTCCTGTGCTGGGGAGGAGGGCCTCTGGGGGTTAGCAATGTCCTGCGGCTGCAGTGGAGTCGGGGAGGCGCTCCCCGGAGGAGCCCACAGAAGGGATGGGAAAGTATGTCAGGCAGAGAAAAGCTCGGGTTCCCAGCACTGCCACCCGGCCTGTCCTGGGAATGTTCGCTAACGCTGTCTCTTCTTTGCCCCCCTGCCATGGGGTTAGGATGCCCACGATGCCACTGAATACTTCTGGCTGGCGCTGGCAGCCGCGGTCCTGCTGGGTGACGAGGAGTTGCAGGACACCCTGAGGAACAGGCTGGACAACATCTGCCAGAGCCCCCTGTGGCACAGCAGCCCCTCTGGGCGCTCCTCAGAGAGGGCGCGGTGGCTGAGTGGTGGGGGCCTGGCCCTCTGAGGGGAGCTCGCCCATCTCTGACCAGTTGCCACGGCCAAAAGCTGCCCCCCTGCCCTCGGCTTCTAGACACTCATGGGAGGATCCGAGTCATCACCTGGCCCAGCCCTCTCATTTTACAGTGGGAAGAACAGAGTCCAGAGGGCCGGCAGCTCGCTCAGGCTGGCCACGCAAGCCGCGGATGACAGAGCAGGGATGAGAAGCCCTGGCTCTGTGTCTGCAGCCTTAGCAGCAGACCCCGTCCACACAGACGGCCTCTGAAATGTACTTTCTTGACACAATTCAGGAGAAAATGAGAAACCCAGCTCCTTCCCGCAATGGGGGAATCGGGAACTACATGGCGAGAAGATGGCAGACTGGACTTTGTTCCCGTCACTGCCTTTGCTCAGGGAAAGACCCCTCCCCTTGCCCGTGAAGACACTGGCAGCTTCTTCCTTCTCTCTCTTGGCTAGGACCAAAGCAGGCGTCACTTCTCCTGCTCGCAGGGCCTGGCGGGGGGTGCGCGGTGGGGGTGGGAATTCACCGTGCTCTTAGCCCGAAAGACACAGCCTCAGAATGGCCAGTGCAAGGCACAGGCACGAGGTCTGACCTGGATTTACTGTCTCCATCCTGCCCCGAGGCTCTGCTCCCCCATAATCTCCCAGGAACCCCGGGGAAGCTTCCTGAGGGCTAGGGCAGAAACATTGAGTGCTAAGAATACTATGACGTAAAGTACATGTAAATAGCATATATTATTAAATATCGTCCATTTACATTTACACAGACATTTGTCTCCTTTGTAATAGGGAAAGACGGGTTGGGAGACTTGGAGGGTGGGTATCGTATTGGTTTCAGGGTCGCTCCTTAACAAAGCATTTCTGTTAGTTCTCAATCACTATATAACACACACAGTGACTTGGAACATTTTTGTTTTGTTTTGTTTTATTTTTAAAGATTTTATTGGGAAATTGGGGAGGGGAACAGCACTGGGGAATCGGAGGAAGGGGAACAGACAAGTGCTGTCCTTTTGTTCTTCAGTCTAGTTGTGGAAGACCTTGCTTCACTGGCCCATATTGCTATTATCATTGCGCTCTTCCCACGTGAGGCAGATTGGTCGCCGGCCTCTGGACGGCCGCTCACGGTGGCTCTTGGCAGCTCAGACTGGCTGCCGGCCGCTCACGCTGGCTGCTACCCACACACAGTAGCTTATGGCAGCCCACTGCAGCAGGGGCTGAAGCCTATGCCGTTGCCAGCGACTCTCAGCAGCCCAGCTCCAGGTCGAGCTGTTGTTCACCATCTTAGCTGTAGAGGGCGCAGTGTCACTGGCCCTCATATGGGATCTGAACCAGGGCCCTGCTGCTCAGAGCTGGTGTCCCAAGCCAAGTCTGAACCAATGCGCTACTCAGACGGCCTAGTGACTTGGAACATTTGCTATCTCACGGTTTCTGTAGGAAAGCAGGAACCCAAGTGTGACTTAGCTGGGTCCTCTGGCTCAGGGTGGCTCACAAGGCTACAATCAAAGTGTTGGCCATGGCTGCAATCTTCTCAAGCTCAGCAACAGAAGGATCTGCTTTCGAACTCACTCACATCATGTCTGCAGGGCTCAGTTCGTTGCTCGGCTGTTGGCCGGAGGCTGCCCGTTTCCTGCTTCATGAGAGTGAGCAAGTGAGAAGAGCGAGAGAAGGAAGTCTCAGGCTTCTCATAACCCAGGGTCAGAAACAACATCCAATTAATTTTGCCTATTCTATTCATTGTAAGTGAGTCACTAGGTCCAGCCCACAGAAAAAGGGAGGGACGTGCAAACACCGGGAGGCAGGGAATCAGTGGGGGCCATTTGAGGAGCTGTCTACCCCAATAACTCTGATTCAGTTAGGCCTGGGAGACACCCCTGCAACATGCATTTTTAAGGAGCAACTCAAGTGATCCTGGTGAAGGCTCACCCTTGCTCTGAACTGAGGGAACATGCAGGGAGATCTAACCACAGGGCTCCGCCACCTGATGCCCTGTGGCTTCGATTTTACTGTCAGGCCCTCTACCCTTAATTTCTAGCTTCTTGGGCCAACCAGAGGGTTGGTGGTGTGATGGGGGTGGTGTGATGGGGGCGTGGGAAGTTGAGTCAACATTGCAACTTCCACGAATAGTCACAGGCTTGTCTACACATCAGTGCATCTTGTTGTCTCTTAGGAGCTATGTTGGTTGTCAAAATGCTCTCTACAGAGTATTCTTCTCCAGGAAGGGAATGACGTGACCTAATTCACTACCATGTAAAACAGATGTCATTTTGCTCCCACGACAAACCATGACATCCTGGGCGGGGAGGGATGTCGTGGAGGGGTCTAACCTCCCATGCAGGGTGCTTTCAACAACATTCCCGGGATGGTCAGGGGCCCATGCGTTCCAGAACGGTTACGCATCTTGTACTTGAAGAAGGCTTGCTTGGCCCTGGAAGCGGTCCATGACCCATTCCCCATTTGACTCAAGTTACAGCCCCTCTCCCGTTCCCACTGACCTATGCCTCTCCTGGGCAGACGCCAATGTCTGTGGCTCCCATAACCGCACCAGGCTTTTGGTGTTGGCGGGTGGGTAGAGAGAACAGAGGGATGTTACTATACTTAATGCTATTTAACATTGTATTTTAATGTTGCATTATGATTTTTCTTCCTCCCCTCCCCCTTTTCCCCCGCCCCCCCAACAGCTGCATCTGACCGTTGGTCCCACTGAGCTTATGATCCATTGAAACATCTCACATAAGCTTGTTTGGCCAGATCTTTCTCAATTGCTACATATAAATTACATATATATATAATTTATGTATAAAATTTATGTATATATATATGTATATATGTATATACACATATACATATATACATATATATATATATTTTTTTTTTAAAGATTTTTATTGGGGAATTGGGGGGAAGGAACATATTGGGGAATTGGGGGGAAGGGGAACAGACAAGTTGCTGTCGTTTTGTTCTTCAGTCTAGTTGTGGAGGACGTTGCTTCACTGGCCCAAGTTGGTACCATCATTGCGCTCTTCCCGAGCGAGGCACATCAGTCGCTGGCTTCTGGACGGCTGCTCACTGTGGCTGCTGGCCGCTCACGCTGGCTGCTGGCCGCTCACGCTGGCTGCTGGCTACACACGGTAGCCCATGGCAACCCACTGCAGCAGTGGCTGCAGCCTACGCCGTCGCCGGCGACTCACGGCAGCCCAGCTCCATGTCGAGCTGTTGTTCAGCATCTTAGCTATAGAGGGCAGTGTCACTGGCCCTCATAAATACATATATTTTTAAGTGAAGGGCATTATACCTACTCATTTTACATTTCGTTGGGAATTTCAGTTAAACTTTTTTGATTCTGTGGGCTTTGGTTCACCTATAAATCTGGTAAATCTGCCTCTAACAGGTCAGTTATAAAAGTGTTCAGCACACTTCCAAAGACAAGGGTAGGACTGGTTTTTTTAATGAGGAAAACATTGTGCTGTATCATTGCAATGACCACATCCTCAATGCAAATTCATTTGTGAAAATAGTCTTTAAAAGTATTTTAAAATCCCATTTAAAAAATGTGGATAACTTCCCCTTGGAATGGCGTTGAAGCTATTTTTTCATGATCCACAGAGGGTGAAGTGGTGATTGGGTCTGGTCTCCATTTAAGCAGGTTTTATTATGCGTATATAGTAGCCAAAGATGAACCATTTAGCCTCTTCGTGCTAATCCTTCCCCAGAACTTACATGACCTGCCTGGCTCCCAGCTCTTTGTATCGAACCTAAATACAGAACAAGGAGGGAATTACAACAATGATGTGTTTTCTCAGCTTTTAGGTACATCGCTTCCTGTTTAACATTGTTAATACTCTGAAATCCAATACTGCCTTTAGCCTTTTCTTATTGGCTTTATTTGCTTTTCCATTATTTTAAGATGTCTTTATATTTGTGTGTGTGTGTGTGTGTGTGTGTGTGTGTGTGTGTTTGCTTGTGCTTGGTAAGGGGGTGGAGGGTTTCAGAATGCAGGGCAGAAGCAGATCACCAGGGAGTGGGGAAGCTTGGAATTTGGTCTTGAATTTGACATTGACTTGCAAAGTGACCTTGTGTAAGTCACAACCTCTGTATACCTTAGAGCTCCAATATAGGAAGTATGATCACCTCTGGGTTTCTTTTCAGCAAAGTTATTTCCATGCCATATGAGCAGGAGGAGAGATTTGTATCTGAAAAATGAAATCAGAAGGTCTTATGGCCCAATTTTGTTCTCTTCTTTTTACAGGTGAGTAAACTAAGAAATAGAAAAGTAATTTTCTGCCAGCCATACAGGTCACAAGTGGCATTTTGTGACCCAAGGACTTAGCTGCAATAATGACAGGGTTTCTCTCGTGCAGGGTGACCTTCACAACGGCATGCATACTCACCACCTGAACAGCCATTTACCAAACTTTTTCTCAATTGATTTATTTCCTTTACTCATAGAAATGAACTTTATATAAGATGACTGGTCTATACAAGCAGAACATGTATTGCTTTCCATGAAATAGTATTTCATAAATAAATACAGTGAAAGCCAAACAATGCACTAAATTCAAGCTAAGTCCTGTTGCCCATGGCACGAGCCCAGTGTAGGCTTGGTCTGGCGTTATTTGAAAATAGATGTAACAAGTGGCAGGGAGTGTTGAAGACAGACTAACATTGTTCTTAAGCAATCAGAGAAACAGAGAAAGCAGCTGCAAAAGACTACACTTCCCACAGTGGGAGTCAATGCTAGTCAACGCCATGTCCGGGCACGTGCTCCTACGTCAGGGAAGTGAGGACTCACCTGTGTGAGAAGGCAGGGCATATTATATAGTATAAACCTGAGTCAGGATGAGAAGCGCTATGATGGGAGCTGATTGCAGGGTGTTATGGGAGCTCAGGCGAGGGAATGTAACTCAGGCACGGGAGTGAGGGCATGGGGTGGGGGGAGGGGCCTCCTGGCAAAAATGACATCTGAGCGGAGTCCTGAGAGAGAGAGAGCTCTACAATTCTATCTGCAGGCCAAGGGGTGTGATGTTGACATGTTCCAAGCAAAGGCCCGAGTGGGGAGAGGGCCTGGTGTTTTCTGAGAACAGCCGCATGTTCAGCAAAGCTGGAGCAGAGACAAGGAGGCAGGGAAGGGAAGTGTGAGGAGAGGCTGGACAGGGGAGCTGGAGACAGACCCTGAGGGCTTGGTCTTTCCCCTGAGGGTGAGGGGAAACCACAGAAAGGTTACAAGCAGGAGAGAGAGCCATGGTCAGATCTGTGCTTCGGAAAGGTGATTCAGGAAGCAGCAGGAGGAAAAGCGGGAGACCCATGAGGATCCAGCTATTGCAACAAGAGGCCACAGCCCTGATTTGGGTTTCACGTTTCCTCACTGAAGTCATTTCTGTAATCCAGGGTGCCACACTGCATTTAGCTGTCACGTTTCCCTAGTCATCTCTGGTCTGTGATAGTTTCTCAGCCTTCCCTTGTGTTTCATGAACTTAACTGTTTTGACCTCCGTTCCTTTTGATAATCGTGCCCATTGAGATGTGTGGACAAGGCGAAGAGGGGAAGGAGAAATTCAAGGGGACGGGCCCTGCACTCACGAAGCAGTAGTTCCGAGTAGAGAGTCTAGCCGGGGAGTCAGGCATACCTGGGTTAGAATCTGTGTCTTACTAGCTGTGTGACCTTTAGCAAATTAATTAACTTCTCTGAACCTATTGTTGTCAGAATTATACCAGTCAGCACATGTAAAAATACCGGCACACACAG